TGACAAAATTATAAAGTAGATTGGGGGGAGGGAAGTAACAAATTGCACAGGAGTTACTGTGGTTGATCCCCCCCACCAACTACACTGAATGAAGAGCAAGATCTGGAAAGGACATTCTGTATTTATGGATTTTGTGTTCCCCAGAATGTGAACTGAAGCTTGTCAACATCCTCGCAGGCAAAAGATTTGGAAGGGTTTTGTGTGTGTGTGTGTGTGTTGTTGGTTGCCTTGACTGTAAGTCATAACTTAGCAAATAAGAAATGCAGAAGCATAACTTCCTCTACATTTGCAAATCAATATGCTGTCATAAAATGCCAAAAGACCTCAGGCATTGGAGGAAAAAAAGAATGCACCGAACAGTCAATTATCTTTAAAACAGTCACTGATTCTTCCTATAAAGGCCCAGGAAATTCTCTGCAGAGTGTTTTCTGCCCCTTAAGCAGTGGGTGTCAAGTCGAGCGGGGAGAAAATGCTAAATTTTGCTTAGTGAAAAAGATCTTTTGAGAAATGTTGGCTTGGATTTGGCCTTTTTTTCTTCTTCTTCCTATAAATGGGCTTTGGGGATAATTATTATTTCTTATTTGTCTAGCACATCTATATCCCACAAGAGGTGCCTTCCTATTTTAAGACACTAAAAGCAAGTGACTCTTGCACAAAACATATCCGTGTTGTTTTGATCAGAGCCAAAGACCCTTTGGGAACTGATGGCAGAAAGAAATTGGTTTGGTTGCTCAGCTGGTCATTTGGGGTGAAGATCTGACCCAGAATTCTCGATAATCCATTTAGGAAGTGACACCTCACCTCGAGAAACCAAACTTTCTCAGATCAGAATGTCCCAGGTCCATTATAAGCTGGACTCAAACAACTGTGTGGTCCATTTGAATCATTGATTGGCAATATAGTATCACCGTTTCCTTTCCTTTCCCTGATACATACATGAAAACCTGTTGAAAAAACTCCAGCTAAGCAGAGAGGTGGGGTCAAGCAGGGAGCTAGCCTTGAGTCCTTGTGCAGCTGCCTGAACCTCCCTAAAACTCAAGGAACCGTATCTGGTTATTCCCAAGGGAATGCTAAGACAACTCTTGTAATCTAGGCAGAACACAATCACGTTGTTGTCTAGGACCTTTTGCAAGTGGGTCTGTCCAGTTTGCTTGTGCCTGACAACATCTGCAATATAGTGATGGGGGAATCATTACCAATCAAACACCAAGGTTAACAGATGTCCATGTGTGGAATTTAGAAATAAAACTTTCCTCCTCCACCACCACCTCCTCCTCCTCCTCTTCCTTCTCCTTCTTCCTCCTCCTCCTTCCTCCTCTTTCTTCTCCTCCTTTTCCTCCTCACTCCTCCTCTTCTTCTACCTCCTCCTCCTTCCTCCTCCTATTCCGCCTCCTCCTCTTCTTATTTTCTCCTCCTCGTCTTCCTCCTCCTCCTCCTCCTCCTCCTCCTCTTCTCCTTCTCCTTTTCCTCCTCCTCCTCTTTCCTCCTCCTCACTCCTCTTTCTCCTCCTCCTCTTCTTCTCCTTTTCCTCCTCCTCCTCTTTCCTCCTTCTCCTCCTTACTCCTCTTTCTCCTCCTCCTCCTTTTCCTCCTCCTCCCTCCTCCTCCTCTTCTTCTTCCTCTTCCTCCTCCTTCCTCCTCCCCCTATTCCTCCTCCTTTTCCTCCTCCTCCTCCCTCTTCCTCTTCTTCTTCTTCCTCCTCCTCCTTTTCTTCCTCCTCCTCCTCCTTCCTCCTCCTCCTCTTCTTCTTCTTCCTCCTCCTCCTCCTTCCTCCTCCTTCTCCTTACTCCTCTTCCTCCTCCTCCTTCCTCCTCCTTCTCCTTCCTCCTCTTTCTCCTCCTCCTCCTTTTCCTCCTCCTCCCTCCTCCTCCTCCTCTTCTTCTTCTTCCTCCTCCTCCTCCTTCCTCCTCCTTCTCCTTACTCCTCTTCCTCCTCCTCCTTCCTCCTCCTTCTCCTTCCTCCTCTTTCTCCTCCTCCTCCTTTTCCTCCTCCTCCCTCCTCCTCCTCCTCTTCTTCTTCCTTTTCCTTCTTCCTCTTCCCCCTCCTCCCCTCCTCCGACACTTCAACAACCTCGAGAGTTGGGCTGAAAGAGAGTGCTTTGCCCTAAGTCACCCAGTAAGCTGTCATGGCAAAGAGTGGTCTTGAACCTAATTCTTTCCTATCCTAGTCGAAAAGCTTCACTACCATACCACACTGGATCCTTCAGAGGTCAAAAAATGGAAGATGTGAATGTGGAAGACTAAAATTAGGAAGAAAAATAGATAGGGTAAATGGAAACGAAGGTTCCGGAACCTTC